TCACACTCCGATGGATGCATCGGAGAGCAACGCGGGGTTAGTATCTTGCCCAAGGATATTTGGCATGCAGACTGGAGCAGCCTGGGATCGAACCACCGACCTTCTGGTTAGTGGCTGACCTGCTCTGCCACCTGAGCTACAGCCACCCCAAACTGATCCAAACTGTTCTGGCAAAAAATATCAAGCTGGGTTGTTAACAAGGCGTTTGATTGCACATTAGAACAGAGAGCTTTGACCAAGGTCTGTGCTTCTGTTTAATCCAGATAGAAATCTAATTTTGCACAACTTTCACTTTTCACTTTTTCAGTCGAGACCTTCAGCCCACAGTTAATGAATGTTGAAATGTTTGCTGTTGTCTGCATAGTCACAGTTCTTTAAAAAAAATGGTTGACTCATTGTGTAATGCAACAGTCCTACAATGGTCTTATCGTTATGAAGGTTAGAGTATTCAGCGTTTGCTCAAATGATATTTTATAGTCATACAGGCCTGGAGACTGGTTGCCGACCCCTTAGCAACCACCAATCTCTAGGTAAAAGTGTATTCCCTGACCTGGTGAGTGTTTGCTGGAAGGTTGCTAGGAGGCGTTAGTGTGAGGCTGATTGAAAAGGCATAAAGGCTTGTAGTTGCTTTGCTCGCTGGCAGGTTGTCATGGTCGCCCTGGGTTTGTGTTAAAGATCCCAATGTGGTCTGCAAAGACTACTACTACTTGCCAAGCGGTAGCAAAGCTATGAAAAGTGGGAAATAAACTTGAAACAGAGATTGTTCGCCTTAAAAGTGAAACCTGCACCTTTTGAAAAGTGTTGACGCAACAAAGGGACAACTTTTACTTTGAAGGCACAGATTCTTCATTTCCATTTTCTGCTGCACTTCTTTCAACTTTCACTGCAGCTCAGAGAGAAAATGCTGAGGTTCTGCAGGCAAGTCAGCATCTTCCATGCAAACTATGGGCAACAGAGGCAATCTGCTAGTTACTATAGCACTCCCTTAGAGACCAATTTAACCTGGTGTAAACCCCTAGCAACCACCTGCTAACCAATCATGGAATACACATTTTAGCAACTGGAGGCTGCCAGGGGTCACCAGCCAGTGAGGCCTCACGCCTGAATTATGTTTCTACGGTGAATCTATGGCATAGCCTATGCAAGAGGATGACACCATTGCCAGCATTTATACTTCTACAGTTTTGTACTTGTAAGGATTTACAGTAAGTGTTGGGACATCTCTACGATCAGCCTGTGACTGAGGCTAGTTTCATTAACATTAACAGGGTGAACAAAGTGTATTAACAGTAATGCAATACAACGTCTGAATATCATATTCTTAAATTTCAATGATATCATCTAAACCTTGAAAGTGGATATTTTACAGTAGTTTGTAGGTTGAGTAGAACAACTTATATATAGGGATGGGTACCGGTATCCGGTGCCATGATGGCACCGGTTCTGACATAAATGGTAGTAACCAGACCGAAAAGCAGCGCACATTTC